GAGTAGCCATGCCTGTGAGAGGGTCTACAAGCGGGTGACTCCCGAGGGACATGGATTGGTGATGGCGGTGGCATTGCAGGGTGTGCAGCATGTGTTCTGAGAAGGACCAGAAAATGTTTCCTTGGCCTTGCCTCCATGCACCCTCCCCCTGTCGCCTTGCCACCAGCTCTCTCATGCTCTGTCCCCTCATCATCCCCCGCTCCCCTCCTCCTCCTTCCTTTCCTGGCCCCTGAAAGATTGGTTTCCTCAGAGGGTTAGGAAAGGGGGGGCTGGCCTTCAGTGAGAAAGAGCTGCCTCTGTGCTGCTCCCAGCCTGTCACCAGCCCGTCTCCAGCCCGTTTTCTTCACAGACCTCCTTGCTCACAGTGCCCAGCTGTCCCCGCAGCTCCTGCTCCCCTGAGTCGGGCAGGCCAGGCCGCACACACTGTGCCCCACAGTGCTCAGTGCTCTGTGGGCCATCTGGCCTGGTCTCTTCACCAGTCAGTATCGCGAAAGAGGATTCCAGAAAGTGAGGGCGGGCATATTTGCCATCAAAGGAGGTGACGAGAACCAATAGCCAGATATCAGGTATGGCCCTTGATTGGACCCTGGCCTGAACAAGTATGGGTGACAGGCTTTCTGGACCCGTTTCGGGACATTTTTAGTGATTACCTATTAAATAATTCTTAAAGACTGCTGTTAATGATTTGTTTTTCTAAATTTGTGAGAGGGCACGTAGGCTAGCAGGAAACAGAGAAGGGAGAGGGCAAATGAGAGAGCACCCTCTGTAGGGGGTGGTCATGTCGCCGTCCCTTCATCTTGGTCTCCTTTTGAGATTTTGGGCACCCGCACACATGTGCCTGGGTTTTCTTTTTTTTCCCTAAGCTGCTGGGTCTGGACTGGAACCACATGGTCACATCGGACCCAGTCACCTCAACCCCCAGGCCACTGGCTCCCCCGCTGTTGTTGATTTTCCTAAACGTGCTCATCTGTGCTTTGGGAGGCAGGGTCTTGCTCTCCACCCCAGGCAGCCACGATCTTGCATAACCCTCTCATTCTGAGTGTGGGCTGTACCTAGTGATTTGCATGTCAGATGGGTACAAGATGGCAGAAATTATGGGCTGGCACTGCTGAGATTGTGTAAAGAGACTAGGCTTCCTCAGAGGGGTGTTCTCTCACATGAAGGGGGTAGCTGGCATGCTGTGAGCAGGCCCATGGTGAAGACCATCTGCATGGCGAGGTCCACCTGGGATGGTGAGCACCTGAGGGCCTTGGTCCAGCAGCTTGTGAGGAACTGAACTGCTGAGGGGTGGAGTGAGCTTGGAAGTGGGTCCTTGGCCACAGTCGAGTCTTGATTTGTTCACAGCCTGGTGAGAGACCTTGAAAAGAGGCACCCTGCTAAGCCACTCCTGGGTTCCTGGCACGGAAGCAGCGGGCTCAGGCATGTTTGTTTCTAGCTGCTGTGCCTCGCCGTGATTTGCCAGGTGGCAGTAGGTAGCGAGTGGGTGTGCTTCGTAGAAGAGCCTTATATCTGGACATGCATGGCGAAGTATTTAGAGATGGTGTCATGCTGGCAATAATTTCCTTTTTTCTGCACTGTTTTTGGTGGTCTCTGTAATGTGTAACTGAGTGGTAGACTGATGGCTTGATATCTGCGTCTACACTTGGTCTGTTGCAGTATCACACGTCACACAACCTGTGGAAAGTTTCACCGTCTGCTCATGAGAGAATGAGCTTGGGGCAAGGCAGATAACAATTTATGATTATTGTCAAAATATTTTTGACATTATGGACCCTCTTGAAGGGGCTTGGAGACCCCAAGCAGTTCCTGGAGCACTCTGAAACCACCTCGCTAGATCAATAATTTACCTCTCAGTGGTTCAGTGAAATGAGAGGAAGAAACGAGGCAGATGCAGCCAGATGGAAACAACCATTCATTCTGACTGGTGTTACTCACCAGACTCTGCTGTAGAAAGGTCTAAATATTGGGACCAGCAGGTGGCGTGATGGTTAAGGTGCTAGACACTCCCACATGGCCGACCAGGGTTCGAGTCCTGAATCTGACGGCTTGCTTTCTCACTTCCTCTCTCTTTCACTTTCACCCTCTGTGTCTCTCTGGTCAAATTAAAAAATAAATAATTATTAAAAAAAAGAAAGGTCTACATATTTGAAATGTTCATAATGAATTTTTTTTCATGTGAAGAAATGTGGACTGTTGGACATGACTGGGCAGGTCTGGGTCCCTGGGGGAGCTGCAGGCACCCTCATCACAAGAGCCTGAACTCCCTAGACTTGCTGCCCAGAGCTCTCCACCAAAGCTGCCTCTCCAGCCCTCAGCCTTGCCGTCCCAGTTCCAGGCCGAGGGAACTTGCTGGCAATGACTCGCCCTCCCCCTACTGTCGGTGTACCGGGACAGTGCCCCATCATGCCCTCCCCCCTCTCCAGCAAACCATCGTGTTGGCCTCGGGGATGGTCTTAGCAGACCTTTCCCAACCATAGTTTCGGTTGCGGCTTGAGGGTAGCCTTCCTTTGTATGCACAGGGGTGGGTTTCCTTTGTATCCTGATAAGTTTTTTTTAATGATTGTTTTTTCTTGAAATACAAATACCTGCACACACTGACAATTTCCAGGTTGTGCAAAGAATGTTAAGTCTCCTTCCATCTCCCGTCCCGTAACCTGCCTTCCACAGGTAGCCGCAGATTCCTTTCTTATATAGTTACATGTCGTTTGACTCAGAGATAGTTCTGAGGACTGCAGCAGTAGGTGAGTGCGTCGTGCAGTCGTAGAGCGCATGCGCACAGCCTGGAAGGCACTCTAGGCTACGGGGCAAGCTGTGTGCACCTTACGGGACCGCCATCGTACACGGCCCATCGCCAGCGGAAGTGTCACGCAGCATCTGAGTGTATGGTTTCAGGAGATGTCGGTGCACACAGCCTCATCTGTGTAACATGTGTTTCACTTTTTCTTTCTTTTTTTTATTAATTTTTTTTTTATTGAGGTAGGATTTACACAGAGTGAAATACATGGGTCTTAGTTCTGTTGGTTCCGATAGGTCAAGACGGAGAGCATGACTAGTACCCTAGAGGGTCCCTCTCATCCCACTTTAGCCC